GAGAGAGAGAGAGAGAGAGAGAGAGAGAAGAGAGGGCTGAAGATGTACGCAGAGGTGGGCCGGGTCCTGGTAAAGTCTTCGCTCGCAGCAGCCGCCGATATCTACCCCAGCGCACCACCCCGCGAAGCGAAAGCAGAAGTAGTGGAGTAGCTTCCCGCCTTTGCGCCGTCGTCACCCACCCCTACCCACGCCACGCACACCGCGAGGGCAGAGAGACAAGAGCGAGCGTCTTTCTCCTCCGGATTCTCCGACTCGATAGGCACAACATCCGCGGATCGCAATACAGCGGATCAAAGTAAGTCCGCCCAGCTGAGCAGGGCGAAAGTCTGAGGTAGAAACTGAGAAGCCGAATGTTGTGGCGACCAGGTCGGAGGGGGCCCGTATGTTTAGCCTTGGTTCCTTTATATTACACCCCTCACTCACCTCCCCCACCCCTTCCCATCTGCCTCTCTCTTGCCTTCTGTCACCAGTTCCCCTATTTCTCTTTGTTAATCTCTCTCTGCCCCCCTCCCCCCTTTCTCTCTCTCTCTCTCTCTCTCGTTCCTTTGTTGTGGGACGATGCACAGTAGCAGGAGGAAATTTGCCGGAGGCAGTTTGTTTTGGGGGATAGATACAGAGAGAAAGAGACAGACAGTCAGAGAGAGAGAGAGGGGGGCAGAGAAAGAGAGAGAGGGGCAGAGAGAGAGACAGATAGAGACAGAGAGAGAGAGAGAGAGAGAGACAGAGAGAGACGAAGGCAGCGACTAGTGAAAGGCTTGGCAGGCGCTGAGGGCGATGAGTCTGAGCCAATCACTGCAACTTCCGCCTTTGCCTCCTTTTTTTCCAACGCGCGGCGAGCGTCGGGCCGCACGCCGTTCCTTCTCATAACTTTTGAATCCATAATTCACCATCGCCCCCGACTCGTCTCGACTTAATTCAATGAAGTGAGGAGGGGGGGGGGGGCGACCCGAAACAAACAAATAACAAAAGAGGCATCGACACAGAAACGAAACCACGACACAACGTGTAAAAGGTCCTGTAATCATAGAGCCAATGAGCGATTATATTTAAATACCTCTACATAAATAATCAACGAACACTATTAAAGCTGGAACCTCCAGGTTTTCTAAACGACGTCAAGCCCCACCAAAAACAGCAAAACTACGAAAGAGATTAAAATTAAAGCGGTTTCCAACCCCTCCCTGTCAACCCTCCCGAAATCCCGGAGCTCTAATGATAACAATAACAATCAGAACATAATACATTCATTAAGACTATAGGCGGAAGATAATGCTTTTTGAATGCGCGGCGCATGAAAGGCGGCCGCTAGGGCTTTCCTTTCACAAAAGGGGAAGAGGGGGGGGGGAAGCTTTCCATCGGGCCAGGGAAAGGGGAGGGGCTTAAGAGACAACGAGCGACGGCGGAAAAGCGACGATCCCTCCAAACACCTCCTCAGCCTCATGGCCTCTGCGTAGTCATTAGTCGGATGACAATATTAACGGAGCGGTGAGGCACCTGGTAGGCGGGTGTGGGGTGTGGCGGGTGTGGCG